AAAAAATCTTAACGTTAGCCATCTGTATCGTCCAAGCTCCTCTCCCTCCCCCCACAGGGGGATAAATGACGACCAGTCTCTTAGAGCCAATTTTTGTTTTGAAGAAGTCAAGAGAGTAAGTCAACAGTTGATATTCTCTTGAGAGGTGGAAATGCGTACGGGTTGTCGGCTGGTTCCACGAAAAAAATGTTTCTTTCTCCTTTCCCTTTCTTTTCTGTTTTCCTTTTGGAAATTGGAAAAAAATACACCCATTCCTTCAACCGTAATTTTCTTTGCCGAGACAGGTGTGGTTTGAAATAAAGGAGAGACCTCTATTGCAAAATTGCAAGGGAATCGAAAAAAATTAACGCGATTCCAGGAAGATCGAGCGAATTAGTTAACAAAATAAAATGGAAATAAAGGAGAAATTTGGAATTTGTCAGTTACTCTTCGCAAGGCTACTGTTCTTGCGCTGTTTCTAAGTCTAATTTGAACCTGGACAACGATTTTAATGACTGAAGAGTTATTTACAAGCAATAGTTGTGGTAGTGCTACGGTTGCAGCGATATTTTACCTCTTTATTGGAGTCTAATACGTCTTAAAAATAGCCAATTATTGCTTACGATTGCACAAAACTAACCGAAAAGCTTGTCGTTGGTATTCAGCCCGTCGTTCAAAGTCGGAAAACTCATTTGAATTACAAATCGTTTTCAAAAATTATTTGGTTAGAACTGATGTAGAACAAGTTGTGGACAAATATATTTTATTATACGTTTTGGTGTGTGGTATCACTGAACATTTTTGCGAGTTGCGCCGTATTTTGACGAGCCCGTATGTCGAGTCAAAATACAAACAACGCCGCTTCAGAAGTGCTTTACAAAAGAGCAGTGCTTCGCGGCTTCTTTATATGTTAAAAACGTCTTTAACTTGATAATAAAAGCGCGTTTGAATCTTGTGCGTAATTCTTTTTTTTTTCAATTGCGGTTTAATCAAATGGTCGCTAGAGCTAAAGCTCTGAACACGTCAGCAGTAAAATGGGTGGCTATGATGACGTGTGTGTTTCTATCGTGTTACGGAATAATGATGCGTTGTAGTTTGTTACTTTTAACTGATAATCAATCATGTAACGATTCTTATTACAAAATACCTCTACAAGTTATTAACTCTGGAATGAACCCTATAGCTTATCAGCTTTCCTCAAAAGAGATATAAAACAAGGCTTTTCTTCAAAACTGAGACGTCGTAAATAAACAACAGAATAGTTCCGACGCAAGAAAAACATCAGCTGATGCATATACTTAAAACTTTCCAAGATCCCGAGGACTTCCGGTTCAGAATCTATCCGTGACATATTGATTCTTATCTAAACTGCTGTTCAGTTAAAAAGCTTCCGATGAAACAAAGATAAGTCACCTGTTTAAGAGAAGTAGTGTTGATAATACATATGTCTTTAATATTTAAGACCGCATTTCGATTATTTTGAGGCCATACTTTACTGGAGAAAATATTCTTCTTAAATCAGTCATTTTAAACCGGCACGTATTTCAGTCTTAGAAACATCTGGTTCTTATGACAATGAGCTTGCGATGTATATTTTAATGATATAGAGTAAAATATATCATTTTCCTCCTCAATTTTGCTGTGTTTTTACAACAGTCCACTGTATGTAATATATTTCGATGTTTTAGAGTATTATGTTCTTGCCGAAGAAGTACATCAATAATAAATTTGAAACGATAAATGCTGAAAAACAAGAGCTGAATTGTCTGAATTTCGTCTACGACAGTCGATTTGCCTGGTAATGGATGTGGTAACGATCTTTATTACAAAGTACCTGTACAAGTTATTAACTCCGGAATAAACCCAATAGTTTACGCTTTCTTTAAAAGAGATATAAAGCAAGAATGCGGAAGGCTTCTTTTCAAAAGGCGTCGTTAATTAACAACCTAGTAGTTCAAGCGACTCAAGAAAAACTTAAGCTGATACATTAACTCAAAACTCTTCTATATTATGTGGACATCCTATTCTGGATCCAGTTTTCTTCTTAATTGCTTTTTAGTTAAAAAGCTTTGAAAAG